ACCCAACCAACCTTGTTTTCGAAAAGGCGGGTTCGATTTAATTTTTTGTTTGATATTTGATAGATATACTAAATATAATTAATTTAATGTTAATAATATAACATTCATTTTAGGAGGTGACACTTTAAAAATAATATTTATTAATTTTAAAAATTTAAAATTTTTAATTAAAAATAAAATATCTAAATTATTGCATCAAATGTTGGTGATCCAACTAGCCCTTAGGCGTCCGTTGCCTTCTACCTGCAGCCCCTACTGTGGCCTCCAACTCATTTATTTCACATTTTTATATATTTTTATTTGGTCGAATATATACTAAAATATATTTAATTTAAAGTTGATTTAAAAGGCACTGTATATATTCCCTAGTGTGTAGGACATATGGTTAGGTAAGGTAGATCATCATATTTTTGTGAGGATTGAACACTTGAGTAATTTCGTTCATGCTTCCCAAAATGTTGTGTGAATAATCAATTGTTTTGTAGAATTCAGTGGAATTATTTATATGAGAAGAGTAAATAGTAATCATATAATGTACATAAAAGTCTCAAAGAGCATCACTCAAAATGGAAACTTGTCAATTAGATCTAATTAAACAATAGTAATTTCAACAAGAAATTAAAATTGTGACTTTTCACAATTAATCTAAGTCTTTTGTGATATTTTACTTGGACGGCTATACATAATACTCTTTGTTTTCACATACACATGGCATGTACGTGTTGGTGTTATCAAAGATGCATCATGTTATTATTCATCAAATGGAAAAGTACAAACGTAGAAAGTCACGAGAAAGAAAGATGAGGAAAAAATTTACCCGCAATACTACATCAATGTAATTTTTATTATACGTGATTTAATGAAATAATGAACCATAAATTTAAACACATGAGATGTATGTATTGACTTGATATAAACACCCAATAAAAATAAATTTTAATCAAAAACTTAATTACGAAGTCATAAATATAGGAAAATCTCTAAAATCATCCCTTAAAGTTTTAATCAAATCGCTCTCATAGAAGAGAAATAAAAAGTAAGTCGTCATATATATAATTAGTTAGTTCTAATTCTTGAACTCCTTCACTTTATTACCAGTATCGGTTACGTGAGACACATGGTTAAAATTTCTAGCGGTACTTCAGCAGCTTTAGAATATAGTTCATTAATTATTATTTATTTAATATATATAAGCATCAATATTGGTGTGAGTTGGTTCATTTTATTTTGCAAATTGATTATCTTTTTAGGCAGCTGATAGCTTTCCATCATGAGTTGACTAATGACTAATCGAACCAGTATAAAAGCTAGTACAGAAAATTAGCCTAAATTCATTTAAGAGATAAGATTAAGACTGCTTTAATTTGTTTCGAGCTTTCAATTCAATTTTGTATTAACTTGTAATAATGTAATAAATAATGCATGCATATATATATATATATATAAAACTTGTTGAATAAATTTTACTCAGTGCATATCTAAATTTTATGTTAATCTAAATATATTTTCAAATTTAGGTATGTACGGAATAAAATTTGACAAGCTTATGGAGATTTTAATAATTTATTCGGACCAATAAAAAATTACAACATATATAGGAGGAATTAAGTAGGTCTATATTTTTTTTCTTTGTAGGTCTACTGAAAAGTATGTCTAACGTAACTCTACTCAATTGTGTATTTATACCTTACAATTAGATGTAGAAAAGTGGGACAATTAATTATTCATTCAATTTTGGTAAAATGCTTTATATGACTTTCCCACGGAAAATGTAGTTCAATTGACACTAAGTTAATTTCTTATCAATTAGATGCCGACCTTTTACTCTTTATTATTGAGATTGAGATTGCATAGAGACCAGCCAACCACTGCTTAATGGATATCTACACTAATTTGATATAGAAATAAACTTCCAGCCTAACTCAATTCAAAAATTAGTTTAGCTGAAGGATTTACTCTATCAAGTGATTCATACTCGTAATGGTCTGATCAAGTTTGAATGTATTTGAAAGTAATCAATAAGTTGTACTCCTTCCGTCCCATTTTAGATGTCTTTCTATTCTTATTTAATGTTTTTAAGTTAACTTTATAATAAATGATCAATACACTTTCAAGATTAATTAATTATTCTATCAAGAGCATAAATTTTATAAAATGACAAGTATTATGGTTCAACTATTTATAGAAAGAAATGACATATAAAATAAAAAGGAAAGAATAATTGTTAATGAATCAATTCATATTGGAGTACCATTTTCAAGAAATTTGACCCCAAATACAACAAGAAATACTCGATTAGAATCCTTTTAAAAAAAGTAAAAATGGATGATATGGTAATATTGTTACCATGAAACTTGACTAACAAAAATAATTAGAAGGAAAATAATTTTTTTTTTTAAAAGTTTGTGTGGCTGCTGGGATTCGAGCCCAGGTCTCCACGGCCACAACGTGGAATTCTTACCACTAAACTACAGCCACTTGGTGGCCAAGAGTCTGAATTTATTTCAATTATATTATAGTACTCACTAAAAAATGTATGACCTAATAACTAATGAATGTCGTTATAAACCATTTTTATAAAGTAAAAAAATATTAGTTAATTAAAATATTAAGACAAGTTTAAAATAAGTTAGAATTTGTGGACATTATTATATTATATTATGTTTGATGAGAAGAAAGTGAAATGAAAAATTAAAAAGATGTAGCTATAGCTCTGAAACATTTGGTAGTACTAGACGTGGGTGACAAAAGTGAATGGATAATGATTGTAATAGCTACAGTATTTGCATTATTCAAGCACTCCAATGATTGTTGAATATATTAACTCCTTTTTGTATTTAAATATAATCATAGTGCGTCCAACTAGGATTCCATTTCTTCTCTACAACCCCCAGCAAATTTAATATACAACATCTTTATTACTGGGATTTCATTCCTTTTCTTATTTAGCAAAGCATAAACTTTTCAGATTCTTGGTCATTTCCAATGCCTCATATGATTGGATGCTTAACCGTATATAGTATATAATATTTTTCTCTGGATTCAATAATATATATAGGAATTAATTAGGACCATGTACATTATTATGTATTTCTGCTAGAAAGTTGTGGAGCTATAATATAGGCAAAATACATAATTGTGCCGAATCACATTTACGCCCTTCAATTTTGGGCGTGCACAAGTAGACACTTAAATCTGTATAAAGTTGAACAAATAAATACACGTGTCCTATATGTCATCCTACATGTCACTTTTTGTGCTACATGGTGTCTTACGTGTATTGAGCCACGTAGGATTCGTGTGTTTATTTATTTAAAAGTTTGATAGTTAAAGTGTCTATTTGTGCATTATGAAAGTTGGAGATCAAAGTTAAGTCAAGTTTAGGGTTCAATATATGTATTATGCCTATAATATATTATGAACTTCATCATATAACTCATGAACATGTTTCTTGATTCTATTTATTTTAATCCACCCTAGAATTTTTCAGCACAATATTCGGGATATTTGAATCAATAATTTTATCCACCTTATTGTGTTTGATTTAATTTGTACTTTTTCTTTATTTGAATATACACCGATTATTATCTCCTAAAACACTTTTGAAAAGTAGAGGGGGTTGTTCAACAATGAGGCCAATTAAGAAGAAGCCAAAATATAGAGGACAAAAAATGGGCCATAATTTCATATTTAGTAAATTGATTATTCCTTATACCTTTTTATCTGACGTTGCCTTTGGTGGGTACTTGATTTTGGACTCTGGCCCTTTATGTTAACACGCCTTCAATAATATCCTACTTTCCCCCTAAAATAATCCTATCATTTTCCTTGCTATGCATATACCTATAACTATCAAAAAGTCATTACAATGGGTGGACTATATATTATTGATGAAATTGTGAAATCAATTCTTATTTTGCGCCCCTCAAAAATATATTCTATCTAAAATACAATAGGGACATCCATTTATTCTTAATGTTTGTTTCATGTATTAAAGGAAAAATGGGATAAGTACCGTTATTGCCAAATCAATTTCACTAACGTGTTATCAATAAAACATGTGTTTACACGAGGAATCATTCCATCAAATGTTCGTGTAACATGAAATAAACTTTTAGGTTAGCAGAACATCTCATCGATAAATTTTTATTTCAGTAACTTAAATCATGTGTTGCCTTCTTCGTATTTAGAATTAGAATTTACAAGCCCCATGTGAAAAATAAGCTGGAATAAAAAAGTAATAATGATATCGGTTGAATCACGAGGAATTTTACATACAGTCTTCAAAAATTCTTCTTGCATTTTTACTGAACTTCATCAAACCTATAAGTTAGAGTAAAAAATATGTCAGGCAATTAAGATTATATAGATTGGATAGGAAAAAGGATACATCAACTACGAATAAAGACATTTGCCATCTGTATGAAATGTTGAGAATACGACTTGATCCAGTACTGGTTTAACTAGGCACACGATGATAAACAAAGTATACACTACGTATTTTTTAAACAATTACAACAAAAGAAAAAAACGAAGCAATTAGTATAAACTAGTACTAGCTAATTAATATTGGTAGCTGTAACAATTTTTCTAGTGGAATAATTATAATTAGGACGACTACATATTAATACATGCCTCATTCAAACATAATTCATTAAATGGAGTACTTAGTTTAGGAAGTAGGTTTCATCTACTTAATTATATTGGACAATCATCACTTTATTTAAATTGAGATAGACCCATAAATTTATTTGCTTAACATTGTATCCGATCCTCATGAGCTTTATAAATTTTGAAAAAGTAAAAAGAAAAGAGGAACATATGTTTAGTTAATCAAAGACATTATATTTTTGTTCAATTTCGTATAATTTAAGGACATTTTTTTACCTCTTTTTGTTATATTTTTGAATAAGATATATGCAAATTATAGAGTCTAACATCGATATAAATGGACATCATATTTACATCACTTTCCACCATATATATAAAGGTTAGTTTGCTTAGCTTCTAAACTTAAAATTGCACATGTTTTCTGAGATTGCCATCATTGAATAGCCTGCTAGCAAAATGAATAGGGACACACACTTATCTCAGTGCACATTAATTTTCTTCTATTCCTTTGTCTCTCTTGTCTAATTCCCCTCAGTCTCTCTCTTCCTTACTGAACCGACCATGCGTGCAAATATACGTGCTACCCTTGAGAAAGAACTAAATTTAACCTAGCTAGCCATTCAACAACTTCCTCTTCTTTCTTTTTTTCTTTTGATATAATTTCTAGATTTGTCCATGGATTCTACGAATCTTTATAATCATCATCAACTTCAACAGCTTGCTGGATATCCCTTTTTCAGTACTGGAGTTTCAACTCTACATGATTGGAACTCAGGCATCACCTCGTAAGTTGTTAAATTAATTAATATATGTCTTTCCATCTCCATATATTTCTTCATTCATCTTATTTATCAGTAAAAGATTTTGGCTAAAGCGTCCAACTCAGAATTGGTGAATTTGTAGGTTCAATTAGCAAGTCAAAATAATTCACATGGATATAACAAGTTTTACTTGAACTTCTTTAATGGTAGTCTTCACTCTTTTTGTTGCCTTACCCGGGGAAGAAGTGGACCTACTAAGTTAAAGTAGACACGAACTGTATTATTGATCCATTGCTTTTTAGTTTTCTGTTATGTCATAATAAATACTCGTATGAATTTTAGGGTTTATTGGTCTCATCTATATATCAATATGTAATATATATACTACAGGGAAGAAGAATATTACTACAAGCTGGGACACATGAAAAGGATCTCATCAGAAGAGCTCATGTGGAAAAGAGGCATCGACACATTTCCATTAATGAACACCTCAATGTTCCACGACGGACATCATGAATCATCCAACGATCCGCTGGATGACAAAAATAACAAGGCCGGCTACATAATATCCAATGATTATTTCCTCAAAATGAAAGATATGAATAGTTTGAGTAACAACATGTTCAAAGAAAGTTACTTTGAAAACGAACAACAACATGCTTTTGATCTGAATGAGAATCTTCTGTCCGAAGATTCTTACATGAACAATGCTAATAATTCGAGTTATGTCTCAAGTCATGATATGGAATATTCAGATTTCCAGGGGTTGAAGTTAGCATTTAATGGACTAACTTTCAAGAACAGCCATGATAGTAATAGTAATTGCTTTGGCCATTTCACTACAGAAAGGATGTCTTCGGGTTTTGCTGATGGACTACAAGAATTAACCCATAGTCCATCATCCAAAAAAGTAAGGACCTTCTTTTTTTTTGTTACTTGTTCTTTCAATTTCTCTCTGCTAATTATTTACTTTCACTGATGTGTCTTAATTAAATTGCTTTCACCAGATCACATCAAACGTTAGGAAGAACATTGGAGTTTCTTCAAAAGCAAAAAGATCTGCTGAAGATGAAGCTAATCCATGTCAAGAAGCATCAAAGAAGTCTCGAGTTACATCGCAATCTCCAAGCACATTAATGCTAAAGGTGAAAAAGGAATTAAGAGAAAAGAAATTGAAGTTTGTGTATAATTAAAATTCCCACATAACAATCAAAAAAAGATATGTAACTGTCTCATTTAAAAAGTTAAAAGTTATTACATAAAACACATTTTAGTTACGTGATTTCGAGATAAATTTTTTGAAGCAGGTGAGAAAGGAAAAACTAGGAGACAGGATTTCAGCTCTACACAGATTAGTGGCACCTTTTGGCAAGGTAGATATACTCTACTCCATTAAATAGTACATATCATCAGAATCCACTAAAACGCAAAAACTGGCTGAAGGAGACTAACAGTTGTAATATTTTAATTTTTATACCATGCTGATTTTTCTTTCTTTTCTCCCACAAGACTGATACTGCATCAGTATTAACAGAAGCCATTGGCTATATTCAGTTCCTTCAGGACCAAATACTGGTAATAACATACTCATTCTGCTTTATTAATTTCCTCTTGGATTCATCTTGATGTTCATATAAAAAAATCCCTTATAATTATGCAGACATTGAGTATGCCTTATTCGAAATCAACTGAAAGGAAGCTCCATCACATAAATCTAAAGGTAAATAAGAAATTAATATTGTTAAAATATACTGGGATAATTTCAGAGACCGGAACTCACGTTTTTGAGCTTTATATATTGCATACTTCCCTTGCATTAAATATAGTTACCAATATATACTATTCCGGACATCTAGTTTACTAAACATGACTGAAGTATACTTGGTTATATATGGTGCGTATAAGTATACTAGTTTCTGAGGACGTGCTTCGCACGTGTATTTCATGTGAATTTTTATAGATACATTAGAATGACTAAAATCTCATGGAAATATATATGTAAATTATAATGAATAATAAAATATAACAATTACAAAATTCAAAGACTTACGGCAATAAAACATTCACAGAAAACTAAATTAAGAAGTCTAACAGAATGAAAGAAAGACAAAAAGAAACAGAATATTTAAGAAAAAATACAATATAGACATTATTCTTATAAGATTGATGTATATCCTATCAAAATTCAAGAGTCTTCATCATCTGTTTTTACTATAGAATAAAAATAATACATTTGATATGTGTTTCATGAGATAAAAGAAGTTGAATTTATATAAATAAAATAGAAGGAATATCAAAAGATATCTTAAAGTTTTAGTTTAAATATTTGGAGGTTATGAATATGAAAAGATGAAAGTTATGAATATTAAGAGTATAAAAGTTAAATAAGTAATTAGAAAATAATAATAAATAAATGAAGAATATGAAAAAAAATTAAAGTTAGCAAACCACGTAAAAAGAACAACTAAAGTTCTTATCATGTAATTAAGTATTAATGAATTTAAATTTGTGAAGCTAGAGTCATTCTTTAATAATAATCAAGACGACATTATCAATGTGCATCTCCATTTTGTAGATTTTGCAGCCTTTAAGTTATTAAATTTCGTTATTTATCATAAAAGATAATACTTTATCCACATCAATTATATTATTTATGAGAGGGGTTAAGGAAAAAGTTATAACAAGAGGGAAAAAAAAAGAAATTTAGGTAAAGATTTAAAAAAAAAATTATAATTATTATATACATATAGATTATAGATGATAAATATTAATAGATTAGATATTTAATTAGGAATTAATCTTAGGAAGTCTAGAAGTCATTAACATTTAATTAAATTTATACAATAAAATATTTAAATATTTTATAACAATTAAATTTATAGAAAGGGTAAAACCGTAATTCAACTTTCAATTTTTTTGTTCATGCTTTTAGTAATATATGATATGTTGATTATATGTGTGTATATATATATTTATTATATGTCCATGTATGAATAAATATATGTATATTAGTACGAAGTATACACTATGAATATATATTTGTAAACTAAGTGATCCAAAGCTGTAATTTTCTCTGGACCTTCTGTTCATAACTAACAAAAACTGTATAATTATAACTTTAAGTAGCCTTTATATGACGAAACCTGACATGTATTTTGTTATTGAGGGAGTAGCGTTATAACTGAGTGACTTAACTGTATAAATAATTTTTCAATTGAATAATATTCTGAAAGCAAATTTTCATTTGGTGTAACAGGATTCGAGCATAGAGGCAGTGCTAGATCTAGAGAGTAGAGGATTATGTTTGGTGCCAACATCATTTTCTTCTTACATCTCTCAGTCCTGTGATTGAGAAATCGTTGGACAACTATTACTTTCGTGGAAGCATATGGCGGGTAGGATAAATTGTACAGTTGCTGTGACTTTTCATGCCCAAAATCATGCACATAATGTTTATCGTGACATACTATATGTTTAATTTGCTATTTATAATCACTTAAAAAGATTAGTACCGTTTGTCCTAAACTGGGCGTTGTCCATAGTGCTCTTTATGTAAATTAAGATTTGGAGGACTCCACTCAATTCTCGACTCTCCAAATAATAGGTCTATCATTTTATAAATAGAAGTAATTTAACTTTAAAATTTCATTTCTATTCCTAATAAAATGATTTATAGTCACACGAATAGTCAAGGTGACCCAGCATCACAGAAATTGGGACAAGAGGGAATAACTGAAATGTAGAAAAATTTGGATATGGAGAAATAAACAGTCTTGTATTATTGTACTTACCAAAACTTATAGACGGGAATAGAGTGAACGAATCTAAGTGGAAAAATGTTATTACTTGTATGAGATTATACAATAATGATCTGTCATTGCATTGACAAGAAAAAATCCAAGAAACTTATGTTTCAATCTCTGGATAAATAATTAAACTTTTACAGCTGGAGGGAAAAAAAAATCATGAACTCAACGTATTTATACAAAGTATTGGGATTCACAAAAGAAAAGTAAGATATAAAAGAGGATGTAACTATTGAGTTGAAGTGTCTCTTGTCAACACCTATGGCTATATTCTTCCTTCTTCCATAAGCCCCCTCTGAATCCTGCATCTTCAATTGGAAATGCCTCCACCTCGGGGCACCAGCTAGCCTTGAGTATTCTTAACGAAGGCATCACTCGATTTACTGCTGACCACTCCAATCTCAAATCAGTTAAAGCTTCCAACATTAACCCCTCAATTTTCCAAACAGTAGTGTGATCACCCCAGAAGTTGTCGTGCATTTCTTTCATATCACCTGAATTGATTGACATATATCGCAACATGGGGAGAGATGTGGGGTTAAGCCATTCAGGACTTATTTTACCTGGATAGAATTTAAGAATCAGCTCGTGGAGTTGTCGAGGAGGATAAAGTTTACCAAGTTTTGTGACTAGTCCATCATCTTGACTGTCAAAGCAACTTATTGTCAAAAGTTGAAGTTCTTGGAGACCTATCAGTGCATTCCCCTCATCATCGCCAATCTCCTCATCCTGAGTTAGTCTTAAACTGAGCCTTCTCAGTCGAGTAAGGCTTCTGAGTTCAGAAATACGACAACCTCCACGCTGGCTTAATTTTGCAGGCTTAAATCCAAGCAGTACTTGAAGATTGGAAAGCTTACTCAATCCTTTTGGCAGGTACTCAAGTGACCCACAGTGGTTCAAATCTAAAATTGCTAGTTCCACAAATGTTAAAACACAAGAGGGGAGCATTTTCATATTCTGGCAATAGCTGAAGTCCAAAATCTGTAATTTTTCAAGATTGGATATGGAATCTGGAACACCAATCAACGGGTGTGTATTGCTTAAACTGAGATAAGCAAGCTGTCTGGCAGATCCAATGCCTTCCAGCAAACTTGAAAGAGGCACATCGAAAATTGATTTGGACAGATCCAGTACCTGGAGGTGTCGACTATTGCAGAACTTCCTAGCAATATCAGAAGGGATTTTGTTTACTTCACCACTCTTGGTGGTTGTCAGCAGTGCTCGTAATTTTCGATTGCTCAGTAGTTGCTTCCCATTCATCGCACTATTAATACCCAAATGCCGACAATTTGCATCAGATGGGGTGGAAAATGAATCATCATCTGCAATTTTGATCACCAAATCACGAACCATATCATGCATTTTGCAAGTATGGATCACACCATTGTAAGCCTTATCAACAACTTCAATCAAACATCGATTGGATAGTTGCGAGAAACAATCTTCTCCAACTTCAGTTGATAACCTACCACTTCTCAGAGGGATGAAACTTTCTCCGATCCACCAACGGATCAGCTTGTCTTTAAGTATGACACAATCCTCAGGAAAGAGTGAAAAACAAAGGAAGCAGGATTTTAAGTATGGAGGTAGTTCATCATAGCTCAACTGTAATGAAGCCATCACTGAGTTATCATTTTCTTTCAATTCATCGCGGAAATGATCTGCAATACGCCTCCATTCGTGATAGTAAGGTGGTTTACAAAGCATCACTCCTCCTACTGCTTTGATTGCTAATGGAAGACCCTTACATTTTTCCACGATCTCCTTTCCCATATCCTCCAATTCAGGAAAATTGCATTCACCTGCAGTTGCTGCAAATGCAATCTTCCGGAACAGTAACCAACTGTAGTGCTCATTCAGGAATTTTGGCCAGTGTGTCCTTGCTTCTGTGACTCCCATCTTGCGAGCAACTAACTCATTTCTTGTAGTTACAATAACACTGCTCCCATTACCTTTGGGTAGTCCAGAATAGATTTTCTGCCACCAAGCATTGTCCAAGCTCCAAACGTCATCCATAACAATCAAAAACCTCTTTCCTAAAAGGTACTGGTTAATTTTTCTTAACAATTCACCCTGGTCGTCACCAATGCATGCATCTCCCAAACTCTTCAATATGCTTCTCATGACTTGTTCGTCAGTAAATGTTTGAGAAACAGATACCCAAATTCTCCTCTCAAAGTGATTCTCCATGCTTCTCTCATTGAAGACTTTCTGAGCAAGAGTGGTTTTACCGAGCCCTCCCATACCCACAAATGCAACGGCAAGTAAACCATCACTTGCTTCAAATAGCCAATCCTTTATCTTCTCTGTGTCACCTTCCAAACCAACTACCTGAGTGTGGTTGTAAAGGGAAGAAGTCCATCTTGTCATTAGATTATCGTGTGCCTCTATACTTCCTTCTTTCATAAGTGGCACTCCAAGGTATGTCGAAATGTTTTGCTTTATTTCCGTGATCTTGTCATTGATTTCAGAAAGTCGCTTCCCAGTTTGATGGCGATGAGATAACCTTTTGGGATGTAAGCGCGTAGAGAATCTAGTAGACCCATCACTATCTGCTGACTGATTCTGGCAGTCCTCCAGTATCTCTTCAGCTTCAAAGATTAAGTCTCTCAAAGAGGCCATGACCGTTTTAAGAGTGGTGTGTTTCCTCTTGAGCCTCTCTACATCCTTGAGAAAGCTTTGCATGAATAATAATTCATTCTTTAACTTTTCAAACTGTTGTCTGTGTTGACTTAGAAATCTGCTTTCCTCAGTGAGAACATTTAGAAGTTTCTCTAAGAATACAGTTACCACTGCGTCCACCATTTCTTCTGCTTCTGATTTCTGAAATGCGGCCCAAGGAAATTGGCTCGCCTGATAAAACCAAAGAAACAAATTATTGCTACGGACTCAAGGATATACAGTTGATTTCGCATTGCCATTTTCATAAACAGCAAACAGGCTCTCTACCCCACAAGTGTGGTGATAACATCTGTCTACATCCTAACCTCCCCAAACACCACTTGTGGGATTACATTGGATATGTTGTATTTGTTGTAAACATGAAAATTGTTTTGCAATTAAGTGGTACCTCCAACAAAAACTAAAATGATAGTAACTTCTTCACACACTTAAACCAGTTTGGCTTACCTTGTAAGAATAATATAATGCAAGATCGAACTAGTAATACAATGTATGGTTCAATTTATTTTCCATATTAACAATATATAACCCGGATCTAGTATAGTTTTAAATCGGATACTCTACAAAGAAAAGATACATGTACTACTAGAAATACCTGAATAAGACCCTAAATTGGTGCTAAAAATTAGCCCTTTAAGTAAGCATTCTTGTTTGTTTGTTTTAGTAATGAAGGAGACACAAATTTAAGACAAACTAATTCTTAGGTTTGGAAAATTTAATCCCCAAACTTTTAAATGGTAATTATGAGTCATCACATAACAAGTAACAACCATGTGGAGTATTATAATTCTGCATAACCAGTTCATTTTTTATGGTTCCTGTTCTATACTAAAAACCCAAAGAACTGTTCTATACTAAAACGCCAAAGAACTGAGTAATTTAGAGCCAAATTTTCCGTGATAGTTAACAAAATAGAAGACCAGATTAATTGTTCATAAAAGAAAGGATGGCTAACAAAATTGAATAGATATATGTAACACTTACTTGTGAAAGAAAAAGATGCTGCCACAGTTATCACCAAATGGATTTGGGGAAATCAAGTTATTAAAAGTTGCAGTGATAAAAGAAGAGGAAAAACAAAGAAAAGGAAATTAACAGAGAATGAGTAAAGGAAGAAGACGAGAAATTGAGTGAAACGGGGCCAACACGGTTGAAGAATTATTTCAAGTCAACGATAAGTATAATAAGATATTCAATTTTCTTGATATTTTTAAAATACTATATCATTATTTTATCAAATTATTTCAGTATTAATATATTTAAGTTCGTTAATTTGCAGCGGTGAATTAGTAGTCATAATTTATCGGATACCATACTGAAATATAATTTCAATTTTCCAAAAAAACATCTCAATTAAGTTATAGTAAGACAGTCGTGTCAATTATAGAGTAGTCAATATTCTATTATTTAAACAATTAAGTTCTAATGCCACTTTATATATTATTAGTACTATAATGATTATACATATGAATCATATATGTAATAATAATAGAAATTGATCTTAGTGGCTAAACACCTACATTTCGATTTATTTATGTACTTACTAAAATACCAAAAATTCTCATGGTTCAAAATCAAATATTTTATCTTATAAGCTCTTTTAGTTTGACCTTAATTTTTATTAGTATTTTATTTCTCGTACCTATTTTAATTTTCTAATTACTTATTCATCACCATATCTAGACAAGTACATAATTCTTTAAAAAGACAAAATTATCATTTCTCTTATAAGTTTATAATTACAGAAATTTCTCAAACTGATACAATAATATAAGTGCTGATACATTAATATGATGCGTGATATACATTAATTCTTAAGTAAGGTACATTACATTTTATACATGATACACTAATCTGATATACATTTTATATATGATACACTAATATGATACGCAAGATACATTGATCTGATGCGCTGATACATTAAGGGAAATTTACATAAATATACTATAATAAAAAAATATTTACCATTTATAGCAATAATAATTATTTTTTCACTTCATCAGTTTTAATTCATTTATAATACAAGTTTAATACATAGTACAAAGAACAATTTATTATTCACATATAGTACAAGTTTTAATGATAGATAATAAGTTTTCCACATATTTTAATACATTTATAATACAATCTTTCAAAATTTTACCAAACAGACATAATATATTCAAAAAACCAATTATAATTTATATATATTGCATACATAATTCACTTTTAATTTATTTTACAGATTTTACATAATATTGTTATAAATAGTAATAAATAAAAATAATCGTTAAAATCAGTAATTATTTATTAAAATGTACCAATTTATGTAATTTTTCCGTACATTAATCTAATGCATGAAAATGAGAAACTTTGGGAATTTGTAAAACTAATAAGGGATAATGGTAATAAGAGAATTTAAATGTGGGATTTCTGTCATTTTTCCTTTAAAAATAAGAACCAAGAATGAAGTTGTAAACCTTTCTTTTAAAGCTAGAAAAGGGAAGTCCGTGCTTTGCACTGGCGCAATTATTATAATTTGAATTTCGTAATGTTTAGTGTGGAACTTTCACTTATAGACACTCAAAAATAGCTTAATTACTCTCAATAGTTATAGTTTGATAATTAAAATTCGTAATTACATGTTAAAGGGAGAAGAGAGGTGGCGATACTGGGAGAGAGAGGAGAGAGGCGAGCGAGAGAGGGCAAAAAGTGGGAGAGAAGTGAACTATATATGTTTATCGGTTAGATAATTGTATATTATACATATGCATTTGTATATATGACAAGTGAGATAGGGGGATGGAGGAGAGAGGTGAGCGAGAGATTGGGAGAGAGGTGAATTGTATATGTATATCACTTAGATAATTGAATATCATACATATATATTTGTATATTCTAGCAAATTATACGTATACAAACGTGGCTAATTATACAAACTCGAAGTCAACCCATGTAATTAATGTATAATGTTAAGTCGTAGTGATAGTTATAGTAAACTATAACTATGATGAATAATTAAATAGTATAAGTTTACTTAACCGCATAATTTTTTCATTATTTATGATATTTCAACGATAGAATTTCAAGAATAAACTATAATAAAATTAAATATAATTAATATAAAATATAAATGAAGCCCATAAATTATTTTCATGACTCGATCTTGTGAAGGATCTTAAGAAGGTAAGTTTACAATTGAAATCTTAGATTGATTTTCACATTTTTTTCATTGGAAGAAGAAGACAGTTTTTTTTTCTCCCCATTTTCATTGGATGAAGAAGAGGCCGCATGTAACGACGTGTTGACAGCTGAATTTTGGTAGTTGGAGGACTGAAATATAGTCTTAGTTGAGAGTTACTGGATTACTACATTTCTCAACAGTAGTAAATTGACCGTGTTTCGCATGGATCCGATTCATGAAACGAGTGAAATAACGTTAAAAGTAGTGGTGTCACTTTCACCTTTCGGCTGACTCGTTACTGCAATGGCTACTACAATTGATTCAAAAAATGCTAGTAATACTGTACTAAGATAACATAAGAACCATGAAAAGTTGCTGAGAACTTGTTACAATAACATCTGCATTGCAATTGCCCTGATCTCGAAAGTTAAGAAATTTCTTTACTCGTTACCATGCACTTCTATATTTGATCAAAAAACAAGTGAAAAGTGCATAAGTTTACACATTAAGCATCGAGGTATTGCACTAGAATAATACCTACTACATCTTCCGTTTCCCTTACCAACGCCCCCCTCGTCCTCTATTCGGTCTTCCTATTCTCATTCTTCCTCTCCTTTGGTTTCTCAAAGTATGAACCAACACTTCAGTTCTCAGTCTTTTAGCTTCTTGAATCTCACCTTCATCAACCTTTTTGTCCTCAATCTCTTCCTTCTCATCGTCTTCTGGGGTGCTAGGACTCTTCTCCTCCTTGATTTCATTGGCTTCATCAGCTTTTCGCTTGAGCAAATTAAGCACTCCCTCAAGGACAACCTCAGCATCCTCACTTCTCATCAGTTCCTCTGCAACTTCTGCAGGGGTCACCTCTACATTCTTGATTAGGCCTTCAATCTCCCCGAATAGTCTATGATCAGATACACCCAAGTAGTTAAAAGCCAGAATCTTGAAACTCTGATTAGTACAATAGGACATATGAATGTGCATATCCATTCGACCAGGTCTCAACAAAGCAGGATCCAACTTCTCCTTATGGTTGGTTGTAAATACAATAATTCTTTCATCCCCGCAATTGGACCACAATCCATCAATGAAGTTCAACAAACCCGATAACGTTATCTGCACAAGAAACACAATAATAACAATCAGATTTTGACTCAATACTAAAGCACTACAAGATTAAAAATGAAAATACTAACAGAAGAGGAAATAAGTCAAACCTTAGTGTCACTGGGTTGATGTCCAAGATTTCGATCATGCATTTCCACACTACAATCAATATCTTCAATCACAATAATGGATCGATTTGAAGTGGAGATCAAAATCCTTCTCAATTCCGAATTAGAATACAAACTGGTGAGTTCCAAATCATAAATATCGAACTTTAAGTAATTGGCCATGGCAGCAATCAAGCTAGATTTCCCTGTTCCTGGAGGTCCATACAAAAGATATCCTCTTTTCCATGCCTTACCAACTTTCTTGTAAAAATCCCTCCTTTTCACAAATCTATCAAGATCCTCAATTATCATCTTCTTCATTTCAGGTTCCATAGCCAAAGTATCAAAAGTTGCAGGATGATCCAAATTTATGGAACCCCAAACCCCACCACCCCCACCTCCATACCCGTACCCATCATCATCACTACCACAAGGACAATCCCTTGTATACAATTTCACAGCCCTATCGTTATCTTGAATTTCTTTAGCCTTTGTCAACACAAAGGGTAAATACTCATTCAAAACACTTTCTTTAAACCTTTTATTAAAACTCAGCTCAAAGAATCTTTTCTCTGGGGTATACCCATGTCTATCCTGAGGCTCAACAGAGACCAATCTCCATTTCATCTGTACGACGCCGTATACATCAGTGATCTCTTCATCCTTCTCTATGCTCACGTTGATGTTTTTCTGTTTAGGGGTTTTGTGGGCCCGGACTTTGTCGGCGTTCGGACCGATCTTTGTACGGAGGTAAATTTCGGCGGCCTCGTAAACTTGATTTCGGGTCATTCCACACTGTTCATCGACGATGATGGTGAGTTGGGTAGAAAGTGGAGTGAAGAGATAGCTGATAGCTGATTGGATATATGTGAGGAGTGATTTTGGGATGATATCGTTAGCCATGGTGCGAACAAGCATCATCGACGCCGCAAGAGAAGCGTACGCCGAGAATAAAGTCGATGCCGTGTTCTGCATTTTTGAGATGTCGTACATTTTCGATAATTGGATTGCCGGGACACAGTGAATCCGGCTGGCGATGGTTTAGGGACACGATGATTTTGAGAGACAGGGATAGATTGAGACTATTTATACGCGGAGGCTTGAGGATTTCAACTACTATTTATTAGATCTTAGCAAACTTGGTCGCCACGAATATATGGGTACATAGATCTTAGCTGGAATACTATTTATTAAATTTCATCTTTGGGGTTTTCACATATCCACTAATCTTTTGAGTATTTGGTATCCATGCTGGAATGGACTAATTTGGAGAATTGTTGCACAATGATCATTTGAGAAAAGCAAGCGTTTTTTACAAAATATAAAATTATGATTTGAAATTATAATTATTGATTAAATTAAAACTTTAGTGATAGCGGGGATAACCTAATCACATTTATCTTTTACTAAATCAAGTACTTTGAATCTTAAAACCTTATGACATTGTTTAATATTTTGAAAAAATTTAACTTTGAATGTTTATTTGATTGTTCTCGACGTAAAAATGTTATGAAGTTTTCAAACTACAAGTGCTGCTAAGAGCGTATGATATTGTGTTTAATCTTTTTTTTTCTTTTTTATTAGTTGTGACGAATTATATTTTGATATTTAAAACGAGAAGGAAGTTATATTTATATTTAAAAATAGAGAATATACTCTTAAATTAGGTCTTAGGGCGTGGGTATTGAATAGTATATACTCCACGTGTCATTTGATACACTTTATTTTATCATATTTTAAAAAATTATCAAAATATTAGTAATTAAAATATAATTTAAAACAAAATAGGTTTAGTTACAA